CAAGCACACACCCATGCACACACACACCCACGCAGACAGACCAGTCCACGCAACAACAAACACTGTCGCCTACATCTGTGGCCCCAAACAGTGAGGTACTGGAAAGAGATGGTACGCAGCATATCTGGACCAGAGCACCAGACGCCACAAAGTTGTTTTTATTTTCTATATTTTAGATCTGTTTTTTTTTTTTTTTTTTTTAATGTAAAGTATTTGAAAAAACCGGCAAGCAAACAGTAACACCCCAGGATTTTCTTTGCACTGTTTTCCACTATTAATGGCAGTCTATTTTTCTTATGAAATTGACATGTATTTTTTTTTCTATTACTGCTTATGTAAGAAATGTAAAACATTTGAGACTTTCAGTATATTAATGTACAATTATTGCTATTAAATCATTTTTAATGTGGTGATAATAACTCTGTAAGCTTTTGTCATCCATCATCTGGCAGAGGTGTGGACCTGAGTCAAACATTTAATTATTTTAGACACGACTTAAGGAAATCACAAGAGTAGAATCTCAGTTTGGACTTTACCGCTATTGACTTGTGACTTCATTTGGATTGAAGCTTTTCAACTTGGAAATGGTTGAAATTTTGTCTCATACAAAAAGTATGTTTTTCAACATATTTTTTTTGCCATTTTTTGAATCAAATAATGTTAATATTTACTGTATTTACCTACAGGACATATTTTGGGGGGAACGTTAGTAAATACATGTTTGACTGCTTGTGACAAGAAAACACAACTGTTAAATCATACTAACACGCTTTAGAAATTAGGATTACTTTTTTTTTTAGTTGAATATTTGAGCAGATTCCTGGCTTAAAGAAAGTTCTAAGTTTAAGATTTTAGATCTGACCTGAAACTTGAACATCTTGGGTTTAGACTTGACTTGGGATTGGCAAAACAGTGACTTTCTCCCACCTCTGCTATCTGACCTCAGTAATAAACAGTTTGTTTGTACTACTGCGCTACAGCTAATCTGATGCGAATCCAAAGCAGAACTGCGGTTAATTGTTTCCCCACTAAATCTTCATCTAACGTCCCATCCTTGCAAAGCTGTCTATTTTGTCCTTAAATCTCTTATTCTTCAGGAGGGTATGGGAGCAGGGTTCTTCAGAAAAATATAGTAACAGAAAACTCGAATTTGCTACTCAGAATATTTTAAAAATCAAGTTTTAACTGGATTGTAAAATAGGAAAACTTTTGTATTAAGCTTCCCAGCAATGTTTTTAAATTACAACAAAGAAAGCTGCAGACCAAGGAGCTCCATGTAAAGACTCTTACACACTGCGCTGTTTTTATTTTTAATATTTTTGTTGGCTTTCCTCATGTTTGTGTCTGTGCTTGTATATTTTTAGGTAGTACTTTCTGTAAAAGTTCTATGTATTCCTTTGAACTATGAGAAACTCAATCTAATGTAAAGAGATGGAAAAAAAAAAAGCCCTGTAAGTTGTTTTAAAAAACATGATTTTTAATGGTACAATCACTGATGAAATAACTTTACCTTCATTTTAGCAAACTATTTATTTTTCTATGTACTGATGTTCTGTTCAGGTTTAACCCATCTGTACAATACTCATGATACCCGGAGGAATTTGTGCTGCTGCTGAGTCAGAATGCTTATCACAGTGATGCGGTGTTTGACATAAATCTGTTGCTTTCTTTGTAAAAACACGTCATAGCTGTGCCATAAGTTTCTGCTCTCTGAAAGTCACATCCTTGTAAATAAATAGATATTTCTGCTTTTTCTGTGCCACAGTGGTGCAGCTTTCGATAAGACTTAAATTTATTAAAAACTTTTTACACATTTTTATTATTAAATCCCGTAACTACATCAATAATTTGGGGTAAATTCTCCCATGTAGTTGGTAAATCGATGCATTTGCAAGTTGCTGTCAGTGTGCAGGTACACACATAGTGAAACTGTGAAACTCCCGATTCGTCCACCAGGGGTCCCCCTAAGCACCAGACTGAGCAGCGGGACAGTTTCCTCCACCATCGTGTACAAAATCCACAACAAGCTGTCGTGTTTTAAACCCTTTTTTCCAACTGTCTCCCAGTGCCTCCTAGGCTATTTTTTATTTGTGGTGTATCAGTTCAGAAGGCGGACATGAAATCAGACGCAGGGTCGACTCACCCTGTGCTCTTGACATGTTGATATAATATGGGAAATATAAGTGTGTGAGGCAGAGAAAAGGCAATGCACCTGTAGCTGGCTCTTGTAGCACCTCATCACAGGGGTGGTTTTATATATTCCTTTGCCAGGTTTCTGTCAGTAATAATTATTGTATGTTATCAATAAAGATGGATTTTCACTGAATATCAGTTGTCATTGGAAAAAAGACAAAAAAGTGTACTACTCTTAAAATTATTTTTTCCAAAGACGTTTTAGTTATATAACAGAATATAGACAATTTAGAGGATTAAAGAATAGTGGAATTTGAAATTATGACACCACTCCTTACACAGCATAGTGAGTAGATCAATCTTGTCATACTGCTGAGCCCTCAGAGTAGGGCGGAGAAAGTTGTGGGATAAGCTTTGACTAAAATGATGGAGAAACACCTAAACCTTTGAAAGTAAATAACAGCAGATCAAGAGGTTGGCTACATTTTGAGATTTTTCAGACATCTTCCATTTAATTTTTACAAAAGAATGACACCATCAGTCATTACATAGATCAGTTTTTCTTATATGGTTGGACTGTGCAAATATCTACAACCCACACAAGAAAATTTAGCTATAATTATATTTATCAAAAACATAAATAAAATCATTGCTCCTCAAAAATTCCAACAGATAATTTTAAAATTTTTAGAAGACATTTATCCAAGCAAGGATTTTTTTTCTTCAAAAGATCATTCAGTATTTGTGGTGTATACTCATTTACTTAGTTGTTTGGATAGTAAAAGCTGCAGACAGAGCAACATAAAGCTGTAAATTGAAAGAGAAATATGTGTACTGTTGGGTGATGTGGAGTTTATAGCGCTATTCAAAAATTTCTACATGTCGAAAAGTTTTGCCACATTTGCTGGATTTGCTAAATCACTGGTTTTCAATCCTGTTCCTTGGGAAGCTCTGAATCATATCATTGCATTACCTCCTCAGCTGCTGCAGAAGTCTGTTAATTACCCATTTATTGAAACTAGATGTGTAGAGCCAGATGAACCCCCAAAACATATACAGAACCTGAGAATGAATTGTGGCCACCTGTAAATGAGGCTCCTTATGGCTTTTCTGTTTCCACGCTCTCCCGAATCCCATATTTGTGGAGAGTGTAATTGATAGTTGACACATATTTAAAGCTTCTTCCAACTGAGCTGTGGATCGCTGGAGCTCCTCCGAAGTTATTTTCTGATCTGGGTCAAGTGGTTGAAGTGGTGGATTCAGTATTTGCTCAAGTAGTCTTATTAACTGAAGCTGAGCACTGTTGGTAAAGTTAAAAGAAAGTCACAGTTACTGAGTCCAGGAAATTACAAATCTAGGGATACACTTTTATTAATTATTTTTAGACTGTTAGTGTTGGTGAAGAACTTCACACCAATGCATAATAACGAATTGCTTCTCTTCACATACAGAAATTAACTTCTAAAATCAAATATTATTTAAAGTCAGACCTCGATTAATAAGCAGTGGTAAAAAATAATCCCATAAAAAGAGAACATAATATGCTCTAAATTGAATCAGCAATTCCATTTTCTAATTAGTGATCCATTACCACACGTGTCAAACTCAAGGCCCGGGGGCCAAATCCGGTCCGCTGTAGCTTTTTATGTGGCCCTCCACAGACTAGACTAAACACTAAGTGTGATTAAATATTATATTATCAAAGCAGTTTTTATCTGTTTACTGCCAATTTATATCAATCAATCCCTCCAGTTTCTTGAAAATTTAGTTGATGCATGATTGTCCATGATTTATACAGCGAGTAAATAGTCGCATTTATTATTAGTTCCTGAAGGGACTGAAAAGATCTTCAATAATATTATGTAATTTTAAGAATTCAATGACATATTAATAGTTTGTGAACAGGTTTTATCAACAAGAGCTTTCATGATCTTGATTTGGCCCAAAACGAAAATGAGTTTGACACACCTGCATTACCATATTTCTCCAGAATATAAGCATGATGTGGCACAAAGACCACTTGTCACAATTTCATTTTATTAAATGAAAGTTTCACAAACTGTTGCCTTTGATTTTTATTCTGTCAGTATAATCGGTCTGAAAGAAGGTGATGTAGAAAAACTACATCATCTTACTAGGTGAAGTTTTAAAGCTGAACATTTAGGTTCAGGATCAAGACAAAAAAAAAATAAATTACAATCACCATTTTTAGCAAATTGAGTCAAGAGTTCACAAACGTAAACTCTTGTCTTCAGTCATGTGTAACCGTCCCAGGTGGTGCAGTTTTCAAGGACTCCACATTGAAGTACCAACAAAAGGTTTTATAATTATTTTTATTTATTCGTTTTACTTTTACCGTAAAGCAAATAACACAGTATATTTTAACGAATACACTACACACAAAACATTCCAGGTCAAGTTTGTTTATTCAGATTCAGCACCGTGAAGAGGATGCTAATTCAGTGTTAGCATCCTCATCCTTCGACATTATTGTCGAAAAGTAAATCTCTGAAGACAAAGAGGGAAGCCTTTCCATTACAACCATTAGACGACATAGGCTACAAACATAAATAAACCCAGATATTTAATTTCGTTTCTCTGCTTTTCTCTTCTTTATTACGGTCAGCCTTTCAGAGAAACGAGCCATGCTAACTCACGTTTAAGAAAACATTCCCCGTGATTAAACTCACAATTACGATCCTCTCCACTGAGCAGCTCTCTGACAGCAAACAGCATGTCCGTAAACAAGTTCTACTAAATACTGTACAAGAACCGAAAAGAGAGATGTAACTTGTATCATGATTATATCTTAACAAATAACGATGAAATATTGCTACTTCCGGTGGGCGCCGGAAGTAAGACCCATAATCTCTTCCACGGTACGGGGCCAATGGCTGAATCCATAAGTTATGGTCAGAAATAATTAAGACATCACCAGCATCCCAGGTAGGTTTACCTGAAGCGAATTATGAGAAGGCTATGTGAAATAGCAACTTTTACCCTCTGAGCCCCTTATTTTAAAAAGAAACTGCATCAAAACGACGCATAAATTATGAATTTAAATCTAAGTAAATATTTGACATAATAAACGATTAAAACCGAAGTATGGGCGTAGAAAACGTCGAGTTGTGCTAGTGGACTCGAGACTGACTAGCATAAAAAAAAAGAAAAATGAAACCCAATGGACTCCAGCTACTGCTTACTAGTATAGCTACATCTTATTAGCATAACTATCCACACAACGGGAAACTGTTGGGTGGAGCCAGAATAAAAGCATGAAACAAAATTGGCACTATTTTCTTGTATAAAATAAGTCATTGTTAAAATTTAACTGGAAAGGAAAAACATAAGATTGGTCCAAGGAATCAATTAGTTATGGTTTCTTTGAAAGAATATATCATCATAAAAAAATTATTAGTATTATCTCTACAGTAAATGGGCCATTTCTAGCCCCTGTCCGGCCCTGTCTAAAGCAGCCCATAATGCTATTTCTTTTTTTATTTTAGTTTTAAATACCAAAATTTACATTAAACTTTATCTTTGGCTGTCTGATTAGATCATTTTTAAATAATAAGATGCTATGACATGAAACCCTACTTGAGTAGCCTTTAAAAAAAATACTTTTTACTCTAACCTGACCAATTCCTTGGAAAATTCTACGTATTTTCACTTTTGCTTGAGTAAAAATATGCTGAAGTAGTATTACTCTTACCTAAGTAACATTTTTGGGTACTAAAAATAATGCAAATCAAACACTTTTTCTAACCAGCCTAATTCTGTCAACCCTGCATTGTGAGCAACATAGCTACAGAGCATTACGGCAATTGATGTAGCTTTAGGAGAAAATTAGGATTAATGTTTACAGGGAGGAGTTGCATATGTTTTTCCTCCACTTAATAAATGTACTAATATATGTATATATTTTCTTACACAGTGTGCCAACAAATTTCACTGCGACTATAATTTGAAATGTGCTCAACTCTGAGATGCTATTTCAGAAGTCACTAGATTGTTTAAAATGCACTCTTTGGTTGTGGTGGTGTTCACGTGCTAAAGCTTCAAGATGAACAGATTAAAGGATCAGCTTGTAATATAACTGGGTAGAGGTTAACCAGTTATAGGCGATTAGCCAGTGTGCACCTCGTCAAAGAAAACAGAAACGAACAAATTCAATTCATCCACTGCTTTAAAGTTATGCAAAACTTTTGCTGCCGCTTTTAACGTTTACTTGGCCCAACTCTGTCTTCACGCCAACAATTATTAACATTAGGCAAAATCAGTAGAAAGGTATGTCTTTGCAGGTTCTGTCCCATCACAGTTCCTTTCCTGAAGCTGTTTGTGTTCCTGTTTTGACATGTTTCACTGAAAAGTGGCGCTGAAAAGCTTCCATTTCGAGACTTCTGATAACATTTCACAGCTGTTTCCAATAACTCCCAAATATTCCCTGAAATCTTCTTGCAGGATTCCATGACATGCCTTGGATATTTTGTATCTCAGAAAACTCCCAATCCCGAGTGTATCCTCCTCAGCTATCTTCACACATATCAAGTGGTGTGCCGAGCTATTTGGCTGCTTTTCCCTCGCAGAGTGGAGTTACTTTGCATGATCACGTGACCATATGGGATTTTACTCGCTCTGGACACAAATAATTGACCTTGTTTGGAATTCAGTGTGCATATATTTGTCATCTAAAAGAAACGTTTCACACACAAGCTTAATCCAGGATCCAGGAAACCATTTCGGAAAGTTTGCCAATTATGTTCTTCATCTCTGTCCCCCACATGTTCCTTCTCCCATTCCTGTCTCTCTTTTTCTGTGTGTTTGGTTTTTAGGACCCTCCCTTTCTCTCTCTTCTCCAATCCTTTTCCTGTCCCCTCCCTCTCTCCTCTGTGTCACAGCTGTGCACTCCAGCACACAGACAACTTCTCTACAAGAGCAGACCGTATCAGATTGCCTCTAATGCACTGAAATTATCCCACTCCTCCTTCTGAATAGCTCTGGATCAGGTGAACATAAGTATAACTTTGCTGTTCGGCTAAGGAAGGTGAGTTGGCTGAAAGAAAATTACAAAATGTAACTATTGCTGCTCCTCACAGTATCTTGTCTTCAAATCTATCCTATTTACTGCTTTGGTTTTATTTTTTTCCGTAGTGGCCATGCCTTAATGACTTGTACCCAGTGACCAGGTAAGAACATTTAATTTTTCTCTTTTCATCGCATGTCTTACATTTTTTTCTGTTCGCTGTTGGCGTATTTAGTAAAATGCCTAAAGATAAAACTTTTTTTCCTGATTCATGTTTTCCAGCCACCACTACATCATTAACAAAGTTAGCACTGTCTTAAAAATTGGGCTTTACTGAAAGTCTCTTCGTTGTTTTGAATATATCTTTTGAGAAGCCATAGCACCTTATGTGTCAAATGTTAGACAAAATTATTTTGGTTTTGTTCAGATTTGGAAAAAACTTTAAATTTCTGCGTATTATTCCCTGTGTCAGGATTTGAAGAGTTAATAGAGCACACATAAAGACAAACTATCATAATCTTCAGAGCTTTGCAGAACAGGCATGGTTTGGGATAAACAAAACTAATGCAGGTACTTTTAACACACCCTTTGAACACAGGTCTGTCAGGTCACAGTCATTTTCCTGACATTTCTTGGAACATTTTAAAGCCAACATCTCCCACACTTCATTGTTTTAGAAGTTAAATAGACTTTTAGTTAACAGTTATAACTTCCTGTTTTCATAATGTCAATGTCGTAGTTCTCGTTTTAAAAGACATTATTTATTTTCCCTGTCACTACAGGGAAATTGTTCTATCATCTCTTTGTGTTTGTGTGACTCAGTCTGAGGGTTTCAGTAATTTTTTTTCTCTAAAAACTGGAGCTATTTTCTTCTCTGTATTCAGCATTGTATTCAGTCTGTACTTCTTTTTTCCAGGTCCATTCAGGCAGTGCTCGCACCATCAGTTAATCACTCTGAAAATGTGACTTCTTGTTCCGTTAAACATTTTCAATCTGGTTCAACCTGTGAAAATGCACTTATGTGAGAATATGTGGAGATTGCCATACAGCGGGACAGTAGGAACCATGCTGCTGCTGCTGCTGCTGGGGAGCAGCTCGGCCCAGGATGTTTCTACACAGCTCAGCTGTCAAGCGGCTAAAGTCGCTCAGAACATCACCCAACCTCAGTACAACACTGTATTAAACAAGAACACCAAAGCGGATGCGGTGTCTTTGAAGCCATTCGTTCAGAACTTTCTTTACACGGTCCAGCCTCACCCTTTTCCAGAAGGTAAGCTCCATCTAAGAGTTTGCTTAAGAGACATATTAATGTCCTCCTACTAGCTTATGGACTTGCCACAATAAAATAATGTGGTTTCCTCTTGCTTGGGCAAACTTTACATATGGGGGGAGGAATTGGGACAAGGCATCAATCTCCACACATAAAGATCACAGGGGTAGTTAACCAGTGAATAAATGTGACTTCTCGAAATTTGGCCAGTCAATCATTAACTTTTGTGTGCCGTCTTAACATTAAGCAGGCCCTTAACATTTATTGAAGTTGCCCTTTAAAGCAGTGTCTGTTCCACTCATTCATCCAACTTTATATTGATTTCAGATAAGAGTCAAAAACCAGTCTGACAGTACAAACTCATAGTTGACCCAATTGCTATTGATGTATTGATGTATGATGTACGATGTAAGCAGAAGCCACTTGATGTTTAGAAAACCCAAAACCATACCAGTTAAATAAATGCATAACAGAACACCGCCTTTTATCTGTCTGTGACAAAAAGCTAATTATTTCCTGACTTTTTCAAGTTTGTATGTGCCTCATTTTGATCATAGTCCCCTGCACCGCAGGGTACAAATGTCTAAGATGTAAATAGAAAAATAGGGGATTATATTTATAGACGGCTGTTTCCTGATGTCACACAGATGGTAAATGAAACATAAAAAGCTTGTTTGATCAGCACCTGAGCGTTTCTACTCAGTTACCAGCACCGGCTTTTGTTGTGAACTAAATCCACAATACCAGGGTTTAGAGGTAACATTAATGACTGGCTTTGTATTGTGTTATCTCCCACTGAAGGCCGACCCGTCTCCTAGTAACCACAAGATGTCGGTGTCAGATTTCCACTCGTACAATGTGAAAATTATAAGATGTTTTACAAAGGACAGGACACACTGTCCCTGTGGCCAGGATTTTCATACAAAGTTGACCAGAGTAGAGAGGCAGGAAGCATGAAACATCAAATCAGCCTTCTTTGAAAATGCCTTCCATTTATTCTTACATTTCAGAAACATGTAGCAACTTTGTCTCACATTTCTTCACAGACTTAATTCTGGAAATAATCAAGAATCCTCAGGAAGTGCAGTCAAACAAAGGGCTGATGACTCAAGTAAGTAAATGTGCTTGAATCTGAAATATACTGTACATCATTTCGAAAATAAGTATCTAATACGTCAACCTTTTTCTCGTGAAACATATTTCGAATGAGAAATAGATTTCCATAACCTCATTTCACACCAATGGGGCTATTGGCATGAAATTCACAGCAGTTGCTGGTAAAGACCCAAGTAACGGCCACATGTGTTGAAATCAAAACAAGTCCATTCACTAAGTTATGACATAGACTGGCACAGGGAATATGTATTGAACACTCCAGTAGTAATAAGTAGTAAGTAAAAAAGCCTTTTTGTGAACTCGTGAGCTAAGCTATTTAACTTAGACTCCCGCTTCTGCTCCACATGTCTTGAAATCTTGAAGGTTCCAGGAGTTTCTAATTCCAGATATTTTTGAGCTCCCTATTAGGAGTTGTTGGCTCCAGAGTTTATGTTAGAAATCTAGTGAGGACAATCTGGCCATGACTGGTTCAGAGAGTAACATTAAATTATTTCCACTTCCAGATTATGGCCTCTACGTTGCTCACTAAAACAGCTGGACATTTAGAAAGACTTTGATAAACAATACAGTCAGTAAGTTTTGCATTATGAAATGTTGCAAAAGTTAACTGCTTTTATTCACTAGCACACACTTGTAGTAAAAAGCCTTGGACATGAAATATCACTGTTTCTAGGCCATCACTTAGGACCAAGCCATCTAACTTTAATTTGCTCTGAATGGGGTCAGGATTATTTTCTAATTACTGTCAGATTTCAACTAGTTCCTTTAATTTTATGTCTTTTTCCAGTTTCTTTCTTTATGTTCTCAATGTTTATTGAATTGTTGAGTTAAGAACCTGTGACTGTTGAACTTAGGAAAAAAGCCTGAATGCTCTGAAAACTGCTAAGACTGCTATTCTCATGGTCAAACATTAAAGAGAGAACTTGTTTGTTTATGTCTCACTGAGATCTCACACCACATTAGGCCACCACATTAGGCCACAAAGACCTAATTATCGCATGTGCTTTTATATTCAGATCCTTGTGTATGAAGTGGGTTTCCTAGTGTGCATTGCCATTGGCATCTTGTACATCGTCCTGATGCCCATAATTGGTTTCTTCGTGGCTTGCTGTCGCTGCTGTGGCAACTGTGGGGGGAAGATGTACCAGAAGCAGACATCCTCCATCCATCGTCTCAGAAGAACTCTCTACTTCAGCCTATTTGCAATTACAATCATTATCTTGTGAGTATGCGTGCGTGCGTGTGTGTATGTGTGTGTGTTTTCAAGAGACATAATGAGAAGTTCCTTCAAATGTGTGCATCTCTTGGGAAAACTGTCTATTCATTAAGCAAATGTATCTGTTTGTACATTCATGTGTTGTTTTTGTTCTTTCTCTGTTTCTTATTGCAGTGCTGGTAACATTTGCATGTTCAGAAGCAACAACAATTTTAAAGAGAGTGTGAACCTGGGTCCGTCGGAGCTCAACAATGCTATAGGTGACATGCACACTTTCCTGCTGTCTGTGCCACAAGTAAGTGAAAATACACACAGGTCAAAGTGTTGATAACTTTCAGTTTGGCAGTCGTTATCAGCTTATCTTTTTTTATTATTTTTCCTGTTTTTTTAAACCTAGCTTTTGTTTAGTCAAAAAAATTACCACAGGGAAGTTCTACCATTAATATTCCTCAAGCTGACATGTTGTATAAGTCTGCAAACTTATTGAACAATGTTACTTCTCATCTCATAACAAACACAAACATTTACTTTATTCTCTTTTCTTTATTTTTATGTGATAGATTAACACAAATAGTGCATTATTATGAACTGAATGTAAAATGATAGAAATTGCTCAGATTCTTTAATGAATAGTATTTCAATTACTCCAATGCCAGTATATTGAGTAATCAATCACCCATTGTCCACCATTGGACACCACCCACAGAGGAGCAACTGCAAATTAAGTGTTTAACTTGTATAGAAAGCTGATTCTTTTGACTCAGGAAGGGTCAATACAAATGCATACGACACTTTTCAGATTTTTAACAGAAAGAAATTCAAAAGTTTTATGTATTGTATTTCTTGCACTTCAAAATTATGCCTCACATGAAATCCCACTGAAATAGATTGAATAGCATGATTGATCAACATTGCAAGGCAATGTAGATTAAATTATAAAAATTCTTACATCTGTCAACTGACTTATATCCAGTTCTTTATTTTGCAGTGTCAGTAGGGTCATATAAAGAGAACAGGGTGGTACCTGGCTTAGAGATACTATAATTTCATGTGATTTATTGGACTGCATATTATTGTTTTAACCCATAAGTACACACTTCAGGTGTTTAATTTTCCATTGTTTGATGTCAGCAAGTGGAAAATGTGGTGAATGAGAGCTACAGAACTGTGCATGACGTCACCAGGAACTTAGACGGTAAGAACAAGGAACTAAAACTGCTAAAACAGAGGAATTACTGCATTGGCCACATGTCACAAACTGGGTTGTTTGGGTGTTGCAGACATTGGACGTCAGTTGGGGGAGAAAATCCAACAGCGCTTTAGAGGAACTCTTGATCCAGCTCTGCAGTCGGTCAGACTGCTGCACAATGGTATGATTTCCATGCCTGACCAGGTCTGGGCCATGAGAGCATGCAAATGGATTCGCTCATGTTTGCAAATGAACATCTCTGCTTCCTGCTCCAAATGGAGTTAACATGTTCTTTGTACATGCTGTGCATTTTACTTTCCTGATTAGATGTTTTAACTGGTAGTTTAAAGAATAAAAAGTTACATAGTACAGATAAGTCAGCTGCTCCTACTGAATTATAAACGGAATAGTCAAGAAAGCTCCTGACTGAGCCTTTGTTTGGAGTAGTTGTTTTGTTTTAGTTCGACAAAGAGCCGATTTCAGTGCAGAGTATACTTGATCTCATTGTACTGCTTCTGATTCCTATAACATTGAATGTTTGGGCTGTTTGGGAAGAAGAGCTTCCCAATGAGGGCTTTGGGAAGGACTTTGGGATGACCTTCCCAAAGAAGAAGAGCTGCTCCAGTGTAACCATTTTACCACTTTAATGTGTAAAATGGTTATACATTAAAGTTAATGTGTAACCACTTTAATGTGTGATTGCACATTAAAATTGAAGTAGTACTTCATATCTGCATCTCTATGGCTGGAAACTAAGGCGTCAGCTCTTCTACCTCCTTAGTGACTTAGTCTGCTTTACAGTTTATAAGAAATAGAAACTTGATATGCAAGCATTCCTGTGTGTGGGCATTTTTTGTCAGATTTTGTCCTCAGATGTAAAACTGAAAAATGTAATTGTAGAAGTTCCCACAGAAATTGTCATTGTAGTTATTATTACACTGGACTTGATGAAGCGCTCTGTGATTACAGGTTATTTACTAGTTCAAACCATTTACACAAATCATTGGAAAGTTTGTTACTTTTCTACAATAACCTTAAAAATGATTTTCCAAACACAATGTACATGATTTTTTTTTATTGATAGCGCTGGTAAATGTGCATAAAGGCTGAGGGTAAATTTATATTTGTTGTGGAAGCTTAATCTCACACACCCAAAAAATCCAACTTATAGTTTGAGTACATTTATTGACCGTGTGAAAATCTTTATTTTCCCAACTTAGATGTAATGTTTTAAGTTAATCTGAATACCTAAGAGAATTACTTTAGGAATTCTTGACTCTGTGGTTCCCTAAGGCATAAGTATGACATTAAATGCCCATGAAACACAAAGAGCCACTTTTCAAAGTAGAAAAAAACAATAGAATATAAGATTACCAAGGGCAGATGTTTGCGGATCATAACAAGTTTTGAAGTGACTACTTGCCTAAACTTGCCCATATCTACATCGGGAACAAAAATAGAGAGAGTTTCCACACAAATTGAGGAAGATGTGTTGGAACGGTGAAGGGTCATTTTTCCCCTTCACCGTTTTGTACTTTTGTAGTTTCAGTCTTTTCTATGCAGCTGTTTTAAGGATGACAACAGGATGTCCCTTGCCTACTATAATTCACCTCATACCTCCTAGGAGTACAGTTTGATCAGAGGTCGGTCAGCTGATCCAAACATGGATCAGAACCAAAATGAACAAAAGATTCAAACACCAAGTCTTCTAAAAATATTGCATGAAACTAGAAGATTTTGCTAAAATTCATCGTCATAATTCATAAAAATACCCACAAACAAAAAAAGTGACACCCAATGATAAATGGGTAAAAAGTAGATGTACGAAGGGACTAAATAGTAATGTATGGCTACAATATGAGAATGAAATTGCTGCTGAAGAAGCATGTACAACTAAAGCCAAGAGAGTTAACTATATCCAGAGCTCATGTATTTTATTGCTTTTACAAGTCTTCACCAGGAGTGCCACCTGACTGTGAAGTGTTTTGTAGTTATTTGTTTTCCATTATGACACCTTACATAGAAAACCCCTTATAGAAGTTACTACTATTAGTGAAAATTTGTTTCTAGATCAAAACCTGTTAAAAACACAAAGATCTGCAAAGAGTGTTTCAAATGATCACTGATTAGTGGCTTATTTTTGTGTTTTTTTTTGTTTGTTTGTTTGAATGAGCAGAAACTTCGACCACCGGAGATCAACTTGACCAGTTGAACTCATCATTAGCCCGACTGCAGTCCAGCATAGACCGTACACACGACAACATCAGCGTTGTCAGAGATCAGATTAATCAAACGCTGTCCAAGCCAGGATGCTTAAAATGTGACAACCTAGCAGCAGACATGAAGAAACTCACGATGGACATCACCATTTCTGTAAGTGCTGGTTTTCTGTATCCTAAAACATAACATGAATCATTCTTATTTTTATTTATTTATTTTCATGTTGAGTGAATGAGTTCTGGGTTCCTAGAATGCCTGCCTGCATGCATCCAGTTCTGTTAGCTGAAGTGTTTTATGGAAGAGATGAGTCAGGGCTGATTGCTCAGTTTACATAATACCATTTTATTCTGTCCCTAAGCATATTGTCATGAATAAACAGGAAAAATGGTTTCTTCAGTCACACTGTTTGACGCAGGCGGAGACGCTGACTAGAATGACTAATCTTTCTTTGGATTTGTCTGAATGATGAATTTCTCCTCCTCCACTCTTTTCTCACCTCCTAAAATACTCAATCTGTGTCATCTTAGATTATAAGTGCAAGGTTGATCTATTTAAGTTTAAGATATGTTTCATTTCGAGAAGAAAATGAACATGTACAAAATTGACAGTACACTTTGAAAATCATTCATTGGTTGACCTGGCCGTTTCTTGGTAACTTCAGTTAGATGTTTTTTTTTTTTTGTTGCACTCTGCTGCCCTCCTCTGTTGCTGTAAGTTAGAACATGTTGGAAACTCTTCAGCATAACTTGCTAGTGTGTGTGTTTGTTTTTTTTCACAGGCCCCCAGCCTGCATGAGTTTCAGTCTGCAGTGGATGAAGTCATTAAAGCTGATCTCCGGTCTGAAATAAGTGAGGTCAGTGGGAACTGTAAACAAATAAAGACATTAATGGTCTGGAAACAAATTTCAACAGAAAAAATATGATGTCATTATACAGGCTTTCTGTGGCACAAAGCTGTTTTTTTTTTTTTTTGGTGTAAATATGTGTCATTGTCAGTGTAGACAGTATTATTATACAACAGTCAGCATAATTTCCTTTTCCGGTGAAAGAAAATGACACACATACTGTCCTTTGTCGTAGATGCTTCAGAGCTGTTTGTAGAAACATTTTATAATTTTACAGGCGGAGACGTTTTTCGACACCATTCCTGAGTCGGTGACCAATGAAACTAAGGATTTAGTTACAAGTGAGTGAATACTAAATTTATCTCCTCAAATTTATATTTGCATAATTACTAAATATTTTTTTTTGCCTTTGTATTTTTAGACAGCAAAGACCAGCTGAGCAGCATAAACGAACAAGTTTTGCAGATTTCCAAGAATCTCCAACTTTCAGCTTTGAATTATGTGTCCAAGACTCTAAAACAACTTCAGAGTAACATTGACATGTACTCACAGGAAGCGAGCAAAGCAGAGTTTATTAGGTATAAACTATGGAAGTGCAAATGTATGCAATAAATAAAAAAAACAAAACAAAGCAAAACTTTCCTAATTACTGTAACATTTCTTTGTTAGATGGAGTGTGGGTCTAGCCCTGTGCTGTGTGGTCTTCCTGGTGGTGGTCTGTAACATCCTGGGTCTGATTGTAGGCCCTCTGGGTCTCTCTCCTAAGGTAGACCCCACCAACCGCTCTGGCACCTCAAACTGTGGAGGCATCTTTCTCATGATGTGAGTGACGCCTGCGCCAGCCAGAAACCACCCCACTGTCTACATTCAGCTTTTTGGGAGAGTTTTTAAAGAATTAAACCTGGATTTGATTACAGGGGCGCAGGGTTCAGCTTCCTGTTTTCCTGGCTGTTCATGATATTGGTGCTGGTGCTCTTCTTACTGGGTGGAAACATGTACACACTGATATGTCGACCGTGGAACAATGGCGAACTGCTGCAGGTAGAGATATACACGTTTGAAATGCTTTATAATCCTTAAAGATCAAATCTGAATGCAAAATAACAACATAACTATTGATGACACAAAAACCTTAATGTAGTTCCATATATAAATGTTTTATCTTGTGCAAAGTATCCATACCCTTTAAGCTTTTCACATTTTTTTCATGTTAGAACTATTACCAGTGTGTTTTCCTGGAATTTCATGTGAAAGACCAACTCAAAGTAGTCTATATCAAAAAGTTGGGTCCCAGTCGTGAATCTCCTTGAGTAGCTGCATCTCTTATTGGACAATTTTTATGATTCTAGTTTTTTTTTTAATTTTTTGTATTCCCTCAAAACACTGATAGCAAAGCAGTTCAAACTATATTTCTTCTATTATATCCTGTTATACTATACATTTGAAATGATTTGCAGGAATAGTTTTTTTACATAACACTGTTCCAAAAAAATATAACCAAATAATTTCAAATAAATGTTTGAAACCATTAATACAGGCTTTTAAGGAATATCAGAGATGCATTAAATTAATTACTGATGGCCAGACTGAGATCAGCTAGGCAGTATATAATAAATTCTCCAATATTTTATCTGTTGGGGTAAATAATTTTTTTGTCTTTAATTGTAAGGTAAATCAATTCTTTTTAGGAATATTGTTTAAATGTGGTAAATAAATGGATTAAAAGATTCCTGAGTCACTGTCTTTCCTGCTTACAGTTCATTGATAATCCTGGTTTAATCCAGTACTTCGAATTAAGCTCAACTTTGGGACTCAAGAGCAAAATGAACTTCTCCGAAGTCTACAGGTATGCATCGCCACTTCAACTCTAATGCAAACACTGCAACATAAACCATTCATGCACAGTTTTTGTATCAGGGTTTAATAATAATAGTGTGAATTGTCAATGTGATACAGCTGGTCAATGATACAAAAGGCTGGTGTCTGATTCATAGATTGTTATTTGATGCTGAATTAAAGGGCTATTTCACTGTTCTTTAAATAACCTAAACACCATTTGACTGTCTCTGGTTCAAAATGTAAAATAACTTCAAAAGTCCAATTTGTGATTAATGAAAGCTTTGTTCGCATTTTGGTATTAGAGTAAACTCAGATTAACCACCACTGATCACAGGAGTAAATGTGAATCTACTTGTTTGGCTTGAGTGACTACACCTGTTGTATCAGTGATTGGCCTTTAATTTGTCAAGACGATATGTATGTCCGAAACTTATATTTAATGTCTGCCTTTCCAGAGACTGTAAGAAAAACCACCCTCTGTGGACGACGCTTCACTTGTATGAACTTATAGACCTTGAAAACATACTCAATGTTTCTAAAGTGAGTTTTGTTGACGCTATCTCGTTTTAAGCATATATTATTTATGTATTAAATATGTTCTCTAATGATCTCATGCTCACAGTACACAGCCCAGATCAACAAGGAGTTTGAGAATACAAATATCACTCTGGCTTCAGTCAAAATCCTGAGCCCTGAATTGACAAAGAAACTTGTAAACATCTCTTCCAAAGCTACTAATTTCAACAGTACAGCTATCACACAGCAGGTAAAGCTTATTCCCATGGAGAGTTATTGTTATTATATGTATTTCTTTGCAACCGGTGATCCTTTATTTTCTCTTACAGATGGATGACATTTTAAGCATCAATTGGAATAAAACAGCAGAAAAAGTGTATAACTTGAGTCTTCACCAAGTGAGTCTCGTCATATTAAGACTAATTTATAATGAAAAAGAAATGTTTTGTTTCTTCTGTTTTTGATGTTTATTTTAACTGTCTGTCCGTTTTCTAGCCTCCTGACATTCGAAACAAACTTCAAAATGAAACTTTGAAACTGAGGCTAATTCAAGCCGACATAGAGATGACCATCTTTCCTCAAGTGGTGAGTGCTGGGGTTCGTCTCCGATGAAACCCGCTCACATTCTCCCACCCTATCATGGGCATTTTGTTTGCATTAACGAGACGACCACTGCTTTCTGCGCCACAGATAAACCTGAAATCATCCATCGGGAATCTTCAGTCCACTTCAGAAAAAATGAACGTGAGTGAATTGACCAACACCTCGAGCTGCGGAAAGCAGAAATCATTCATCAATTCTCCTCTGCGTTTCATTCTTGGTTTCATTCGGTTCTCTCCGGCCCTTTCAGGGAACAGTGGGGGAGGTGCTGAGGAATACTCAAGCAGCACAAGACTTTCTCAACACAAATACGACACAGATTGTGAAGACCGTGAGTAGAGCCACGAGTCACATGAGTTTGAAGAAATGTGCTCCATGTGGTCTGTTAATGCCTGAGGTCACTTAGCGGGTGGGGAAGAGGAGGGTGAGAGGGCCATGGATTACTTATTATGGGTGTGTGTAGTGGAAACAGTGTGTTTGTTGGTTCCATATCAACAGAGCATTTGGTGTGCTGCTGAATTTATTTTGAGTTATCCACTTACGTTGTAGCAAAGCACTATTTATGCAGATTTTATTCCTAACAGTATAAATTTAGAAGAATCTTTTTGGATAATTACAGTAAAATCAGGATGGATGAGATACTTTTTGCTTTCAAGTGACCATCTTCTTTTTCCACACCTAATGATTGCCTGACCATCTCGGGCTGAAGGTTAAAAGCTCAAAATACAGTCTGTTAATGACCTAAAGTGGCCAAATAAGTGAATGAGAAAATGGGTCCACCTCTGCCAGCATTCGGTGGTTAGTGACATCATTATGGAGTCATCACTGTAACAATTATTTATACATGTCATTGCATATGTTATGCACAGAAAGGCAGTTATTTACTAAATGCTGTGTAATTAATATGCCATCATATATGATGGTGGTATAAATGTGCAGAAGTGTAATATAGTTCAAATCAATCTCACCTCTAAAGTGGAACCAAATCTGGATCCATCTAAGAACAGATTAACATTTATTGAAACCCTTGCCTTTGTTTATTGTTAATGATCCACCCTTTAAACAACAAAATTACTACTTCGATAATTTTTTGCAACTTTTAAATGAAGAGCTTCATGTTAAATTTGTCGTATTTAATGCCAAAGGTACTTTTAATTTCTAAGCAAAAGTCAAATCAGTGCTGTAAAATCAGTGGAAAAAAAATAGGCCATCTCACAGATTTTTATTAGAATTTATGTTATTTCCGTATTTTGGACAACTAAATTTCACGGAGTCTAACCATATTCATTCCTGAATTCTAGGAAAGTAAGACGTTTTTAAAATGCCAGCTGGATTACTTCACTGCTTATACAAACTGGGCTACAGCTACGGTAAAAGGAACTCCTCAAATCTTTTATCGCAATCTCAGAAATGAATGCATTGTGTTTGTAAAGTGATTTTTGAGCTGTGTTCAATTTCCCTCAGATCACCCAGCAGGTCGCCCCCTGTGGGCCTGTTGCAGGGGTTGTAGACACCTTTGAGACCGTCCTTTGTGTCAACATAGTGGAGTCTTTGGTGAGGAGAACAAACTTCTTCCTAATGTACTTTTAATTCTTGAGACTACTTGGTTTTTTTTCTAGTTTCTTAAATGGTTTTTGTTTTTTTTCTTTTATTTAGAATGCGTTCTGGTTCAGTCTGGGCTGGTGCCTGGCGTTCTTCATTCCCAGCATTATATTTTCCATGAAGCTAGCAAAGTACTACAGGAGGATGAGCTCCTCTGATGTGTTTGAGTAAGTAGCGAAAAACGTGTAGGTGATTCAGGTGAGTGAATAAGGCTGACTTTCATGTTCATTTTTCTGTCTTCAGAACTCACATCGTTATGAGCTACATCCCTCGGCCTCAGATGAAAATCACCTGAGATGGGACGGCATATGCGTGGGGCAGATTTAAAGGTCTGCAGGCACAAATGTTGTGTTAGAGAAAATCAAAGCATATGTGGCACATTGTCACTTGGGTAAAACAACTGGAAGAAAAAAAAGTTAAAATTAATATACCTACTTGAATATTTTGTCAATTTTGGTTTTTACTATAGAGTAAAAACCAAAATTTACCATACACACTGTGGTCAGGGAGACCTGACCACAGTGTGTATGGTACTTTTCATACAGCCCATGTTCCCCTTTTAAAGCCATCTAGAGGGTTTCTGATTCTATAGGAGAACCTCACAGGACTTTTAAAATTTCCTGGCTGCAATCAGTCTCATCAGGCATATTTCTTGTTTCTAGTTGATTACATATGTATATATGTTGACGCACAGTTCAATGTTTTGACATTATTTGTGGTTTAGCAACTTGTTGACAATGGAAAACACATTTTATGTTTGACTGAATTTTTATTTTCATTTGCACTAATGTTGGGAACAAATGTTTTCTGGGTTCATTGTACTTAACTGACTTGCAAATAGTTTTAATCTTATCATTGCTGCTGTTTGATTACTTTCCAATGCCATTACATTTTTTTCTTATCTAGAGTAGTAATATCTTTTGAGTAATGTTATGTTTGGTGTTGATTTTTGTTCTGCAGAGTAAATTTTGTTCTTTTGTTATGCAACAATTTACGCCATTTGATTGTTTGTGATTTTTAAAGAGGGTTGAAACATTTCTGTCAGCTGTTTTCTCTACAGTGAATAAAAAAAACACTAATCAAGAGTTCAGTGAGTCTTTTGTTCATCATATTTTGTGCAATTTTATTATGGCGGTTTCTATGTTGATCAAAAAGCAGAAAAGTGTTTTCACAGTGTAAATGACTAGAGGTAATTTCTGCAAGGCACATGAACTTTTATCCCTCTGCTATATTGAGAAAAGTGAACAATCTTTGCCTTAATGTGCTACCACAACAAAAATGTGACAAATATTCTTTAATTTTGATTAAACATGGCTTGTTACAGAAAACAGATGTTCCAGAATGACCTAGCCAAAGTCCAGATGTAAATTGACAAGACATAAATATTGATAGTTACAAACTTGCTATGTTGAGTCTTACTGAGCTTGATCCAAATGACAAAGAAAAACTGACAAAATCAGTGTAAAAATGTGCAGTCATTGGAAACATGGAATAATAGATGCACATTAATATTTGCTTTTTCTATTGTTAATACATTACTTTCTTAGGAATTCATTAAAGTCTATAGATGTAAAGTGACAATATACATAAAGAAAGAACAAATATTTGCGGTTCTACATAGATTTTCTTGTCTAGATTTTAACTAGACAGATTTATTTCTTGAAAATGGGTGGACCTCTGCCATGTTTAATCCACATTCAAAATCTCCATGATTAAAAAAAAAAGGATACACTTGAAAGTTATTTGCTTGACTCACAACAAATAGGATTTAATATTTATGTAAATAAATATTTTAGTCTTTTGATTTAGGGAAATTAACACCAAAGTCACTAAAAAAACCCCTGACTCTTAATCGTGCAAGTTTGAACTCTCAGCATTGTCTTCACTAATTGTTGTCAAACCAAAACAGTTTCCAAAGTTGCAGCAGTATGCACATAACCTTACCCTTTAATAGAGCAATCTGTTTCCAACAACATATTTGTCATCACTCTCCAAAACTTGTTTGCATAAGTAATGCTCTGCCAATCAACATGGAAACGCAATAACGACCTTCAGAGGAAGAGCTCAAACTCAATTTGGAGTCAATGATCCATGATGGTGAAAAACAAAGCAGGAGGAGAATCGTGTCTATCAAATCTGTGGTCTGAGTCAGCCGAGTTGCTTAAAATTCATCACCACCACCCCCCTGAAATATTTTAGTTTCAAGGATGATGGATCTTTGTTGCACATTGACTCGACATGTGATGAAAATGTGTTGTAACGCAGTCATCCCTCTCGCGGTGCATCAATTTGTGCTGCTCTGCAGGGCGATCCAGAAGCTCGGAGACAGATAGAGGAAGCGGCGCCAGGGAGCAGAGAACCAGAGCCTTGTTGAGGCGCACTATTGTTTGAAGCGAGTTATAATTAGAACAAGTGAATCAATGACATTACAGCACAAGCATGACCCGAAACCGTGTAATAAGAGACGCAGGATGCTGGGAAAAATCAATGAGGGGGAACAAATGTCAGATCAAGTAGAAGAGAAAGAAACAATGAGGCAATGTCGGCTTCTGCAGCTTTTTGCACCCAACCTTTTCTTTTCCTGCCTATTATAACTGAACCTCCTTTCTTGTGTTCTTAGAACGGAGGAGAGAAACTAGTCACATACTTTCTACCTCTGCTGCTGTGATCACATCTTCACTCCTTCATGTGGAAGCTGACATTTAGCTGTGAGAGCCCCACAGAAGCACCTTGTGTCCCACATTTGCTCCACTTACAGTCATGAGTCTGAAAGTGCAACTAGGATAAACCCTGCAGCTTTAAGTGGATTTGGCAGAACCTCTTGTCACCCTTTTAAGTGTATGGTGAGGTTTCAAGTTAGAAATTCAATACTCTGGAGATTGATGTCTTTATTTATTGTATTTAGTGAACAAATTCTGCTTTGGTCTGTGAGACAATATAAACAAAGTAATACTTCAAATGTGTATCGTTATCAGGCTTGATTTGAGTCGCCATGATTATAATAGCCCATAACATAAAGTTTAATTGAATGTATATTTTTCATTTTGGCAGTATGCAAAGATGTTATTTTTTTGGCCTACGTAGCTTTAAGCAAAAAAGTTCACATTTATTAGAAAATAATCCTGCAAATATACGACTGTGCATAATTTAGTATTAAATACATCCAATTAATTATTTAGTAACTAATAAACTACTTGATATTTTGAATTGGTTAAAGTATGTTGTAGTAATCTGCTTAGTCATCACACCACGTCTGAATGCTGCCCTGCTTCACTCTTTTTTTCTGTTTTGAAATGAGTAGCATTTTTAAATGACTTAATAAAAATGCTCTCATTCAAATCTTGACTTTTTTTTTAATTGTCAGAAGGAAAAACAAAATTAATTTTTAGATCCTGGAAAAATACTGTAAAGTTTCATGCTCAGAGAAAATCCTGCAGAAGACAATAAAACCGACAACTGAAAATGAATCTTTTCAAGATGCTACAATTGTTTTCATTGCCTACAAAAACACCTTGTGTTCCACTTCAGACAAACAGGACAAACAAATCACTTGCTTCAGACGGAAATCTCGTTTTTACTTTTAATAGCATAGAAACATATGCTGATAAATACTTTTAATTTGTCTAACTTTTTAAACTCCTCCAGTAGACATTGGCAAAAAAACAAACAAAAAAATCAGTTACAATGTGGATATGAAGAAGAAATGAACATAAACTGCAGCAATAAAAAGGCAGAGATGAACAGGATGTTCAACGTTCTGAGCGGCCTGTGTGTGTGGGGGGAAGTCAGGGAGTTCCCAGAGTCTCAGTTCACGTTCAGCACAGTGATCTGACATCAGACCGTCGGCTCTGTCATACATTAAGACACCAGAGCGACGGACTGCAGTGACAAATCCCAAGAATTTGTGAGTGAATTTAAAAACGGAGGAGGAAAGGAAAGCATACAGAGGTTGGATGCTGGAAGTTCCCCCTCAGGAATACGAGGGCGCTGCAGAGATGCGGCAGAAATGTGACACCGCTCTGGCAGCTGAGAGGCACCGAGTGTCCTGCAGCACTTTGAAGTCTGATTGTCATGTATAGGAGACATCCCAGTTTCACTGAGCCACACCCACACAGAGCTTAGTAGTCTTCAGAAGTTTGGTTAAAAATAAATAAGAATATTATGGATGTTTCCATAGTTTAGTAGAAAATACAATCCTTTTTTTAAAAAAAAAAACTAAAACCCTCTCTTCACCCACCCTAAATCAGAAAAGCTCAATCTCAACAGAAACATCCAGAGCTCAAAACAGTCAACACTGACTGGTGTGATATAAAAGTGCAGAGCCAAGAATACAGAAAGCCTATCATCTCTAATAACATTTTCCACAGTGGTTCCAAGAAGGTCAACATATGAGATCTTACGCAAGCAACATAGAGACTGATTTGGTCCAAACATGTCCCTCCCACACACACACACACACACATGCACACACACACTCGAATCTCAACAAGATTAGCGCTGAAAATTTAATTTAAAGTCCAAAATGTGAGTCACTTTTACTGGGAATGTGGTCTGGAATGTCCCGTGAGTTGGGTTTAGAGGGGACAAGATGGAGCCTGGAAGGGAAAATGGACGACACCAAAGGGAGAAACAGACCCCTGGATGTTTTGGTTGTCGTGTCAGAGCAAGTCAATCAAAACGGAGTTAATGTTTAAGCCTGTTTGATTTGTCGAATGTGAAACTAAAAGTCAGCAGTAGAACCTTGACCCCGCCTGTCTTACCTCACTTTGAGAAAACAAGAACAGAAAGGCGGCTCTACCAGCTGCAAGGAAGCAGCAACTCAAGATAAAATTAGTAAAGACAATATAATAAACCCCATATGTAGTTAAGGTGTTTTTTGGACCGCTTTTTAAATACTGCATAACTTCTGATACAGGTTTAAGTTACTCAAGTAGATGCTGTAAAGGCTTTAGAAATAACACAGCAGGAAAGGAAGGAAGCTTTAAAAAATCCAGACTTCAAGTCTGAATTAGTGGCTTTGATATTTATCAAGCAATTAGTTGTACCGTCTTATTACAGTAACCTATATGCCACCATTGTATTTTAATAAGGCTGATATTAAATACGCTAGTGCGAGAACAGTTTCATTCTCATGCAGTTATGGTTTAAGTGATAAATAACCCTGTAGATTCTGAATTTACACTAAAAGGTCAACCTTCACTGCATTACGTACACTTGTTGAGTCTTCAGTAGTCAGTTCAGAGTTTCCAGTTGTCAGATTTGTTCTGACAACCTGCTAAAAGCCACCTCACTAGTGTCAGTTAATTACTTTACTGATGAACATTTAACTTATTTGCATCTTTGTGCTAACGTAAGCATGCTGACATTCAGTTTGGACATGTTTCGTTCTCCGTTAAGTTCGTTTGGGTTTATGAAAATCCACCTGGGTCTGCAGGTAGAGCGTTTGTGTTCGGAGATAATTTCAGTTCTTGTGTCTCTGTGTGAGGAGACGGAGTGTCTGCGTCGGACACGGAGCTCGGCCGAATGGTGGGCTGGCGGGGAAGAGCCGGCGGCGGGTACAATGGCGACTGGAGGATGTCGGCGTACCGCTGGCTGGGCTTCGTCTCCCTCTGCAGAACTTTTCTCAGCAGCGGCTTCAGCTGCCCTATGGCCAGCTGGCTGCTGCGGGGGTCTGCAAATGGAGCGGGAGATGGAGAGCTGCAGGAAATGTTTTTGAGCACCAGGTTGAGGATGGTGGTGACGGTGTAGTCCTCGGGGCACAGCGCCCACAGCAGGTCCAGGTAGGGGTCCAGCTCCCGGTGCTGAGACACCTCGCATAGCAGAGAGTTGAAGATCTCCTTGTTGAGCAGAGGGCTCTGTTTGCAGAACTGCTGGGCCACCTGGGTGACCCGCTCCCACTGGCGCTTCATCATGAGGATCTGCAGCGCCTGCAGGATAGCATTGGGCCGCCCACTGATGAGCAGCAGCTCCACCTCCAGGTCCTGCCGCTGCTCTGTGTCCGGGTCCAGGCTGGACAGGACCCACAGTGCCCGCCTGTAGAGGGGAACATTGTTCTCCCCGCTTTCCCCGCCTCTCCCGCTGGGGAAACCCCAAGAGGACGAAGCCAGGCTGAGTCCCAACGCCGCGGAGCTCTGCTGCTGGGAGAGCTGCAGGAACCTCGGCAGCCAGCCGGGCTGAAAGCGAACGACCGACTGGCAGAGAAGCTCAAACACAGGCAGGGCAACTGGGGAGGTCATGACCTTACAGTTATTATCCCCTTTCAGGCCGGGGCTGTGCTTTGACTGACCGTTTGTGGCGGGAAGGGAGTTTGGGCAAGGAGTGAGAACCATTTTCCACACATCTGGGGTGGCCCTGCTGGACAGGGAGCCCTCCCCGTTGTGGTGCAGTTGCAGCGCAGCCTGAGCAGCGCTCCACGCCTGCCGGGGGAACATGCTGAAGATGGAGTTCAGGTAGAGCAATGCTTCGCCGTCCAGTTCGGAGGACGACAGCAACCTCACCACTTCTTTCTCCACCAGCGTCATACCCACTGCCTCTACCTCTTTCACACCCCCCCTCACTAAACTCCCCTTCAGCTCCTCCAGAGCCACCAGAGCCCTCAGTTCCCCCTCCAGAGAGCACATTAACTTCTCCTGCCCTACAATATAGTCACCTCCTCCATTTTGCAGCGACCTTGTCTCCATTCTCCTCATGCCTGAGTTGAGGTAGTTCCTGAGAATGGAGGCCAGAGAGATGGGAGCCTGGAACCGTCCCCCCTTCTTCAGGGACTCCACGGTGAGCTGCGTGCTGCTGAGGCTCCTCTGCTGGTAGTACTTACACGCCTCCTCAAAGACGGCTTCAACCAGGACAGCGCCGGACTGATTACTCTCAGCCGGACTGAGGCCCGGAGCTTTCCCCGTAGAGTCCTTCTTCGCAAGCATGAAAAGTCCAGTTTCTGAGAGCAGAAAGGGAGTCCGTGTGTCTTCCTGGTTTGCGTATAACAACCCCTCTCTTTTCAACGCAATCTTTTGCAGCTCTCTGCCACAGTTCACCTCTATCAGGTGCAGGGTTTTCCCGACCATTAGCGCCACGGTGTCCACGTAAAAGCACAGGCTGGTGTGAGTGTCTGCCTGAGGTGTGAAGTTGTCCGCCAGCTTGTACACCCGCCGCAGGATCCCGTCTTCCTGCAGGAGGTACAGCCAGCCCGTGTTGAGGAGCAGCAGCAGGCCTCCACAGCCTGTGGGAGAAAAGCTGCAGATTTCCGGCGGCTCGAGAGCTGACAGATATCCCAAACAGTCCGCAATCAGCCGCCTGAAGTCGGACTCCTTGGCCGACAGCTTCTTTATCGGGGTGTTTTTGCACGTGGTGCTGATGGTGAAGTTGTCGTGGTGAGGGGACCACGTCAGGAAGAATTTGGAGATGCACAGTTGCAGCTTGGCTTTCAGGTCAGGCAGCAGATGCACGTAGTCGCCTGAGCTGATGACAGTGAATTTAGGATTATTGTGAAGGATGATTTTCAGTCCTCCCAGGTTCACAGCTCCATCCTCTACTGCACAGTCCCTCCTGCAGACGCAGTATCTCAGTTTGTTCCTGGTGGAGCTGAGGGCAGGGGAGCTCTCTGAGGCTGGACGCTCCTCACACCACACCAGGAGGCTGGAGCACACACACACTGACACCACTCTGGCCCGGGGGCTGTTGCACAGATCAGAGGTCTGCAGGAGATACCAGCCGGTCTTGCAGTCCAGGAATTTCCAAAACTCGGCTTTCCCATTCTCATAAACAACCACAGTAACAACTCCTGTCCCCTTGCTTTTGTTATGAAGGAGATCCAAGTAGAAGACATCCACTATGGAGACGCCCCCTTTGAACCACACGTCCAGCTTCTTCGGGTTGAGAGCCAGCTGGGGTCTTTCATGCTTGTCAAAAGTCATGAGACCCACCTTAGGCTGGCGGAGGAGGACATGGATGTGACGTCCATCTGGACTCACACGAACGTCTGACAGTTTGATCCTGCTGGGCTCCTCTTTAGAAACAATTAGTAAGTCACTCAGCTTCTGGCTTCCAGCGTAGTCCCTGAAATCCGACAGCTCTTCCAAGACAAACCGCGACATGTTTCGAGGAGTTCAGAGTAACTTCCTTCACCGCAGCCCCTATCAATAAGCCCTTTAGCGATGACGGCTCATAAATCCGACCCCTGGCTCTAGCGAAGCTAGCAGAGCGGATGCTTTAGGTCCGGTGGAGGGTGTCATCTCTTTAACGGCCGAGCGGAGGGATACACAAATCCGACAGCATCACTCTGCTGTAATTTCATGTTTTATAGACCAGAGCGGAGCTAAACTGTTAGCTGACAGCGTAAAGGTTTGGAAGGGCAGTCTGAGAAAAGGCACTGCAGTCATTCCGACGCTATGCTAGCCCTCCTCTAACATCACGGGACTGTTCATTTCCGGATACCGAGACTGCTCTGCATAAAGGGGAGGAGCAGAACGCCGACCGTTGGACTGCAAAGATTTTGCAAAGGAGAAGGAGGAATCACTTCGCTGATATATTTTTTTCTCTCGAGATTTTTCATATTAAATAAGAATTTGATATCTCAACACCGTTAATTAGATGATAATAATTAAGTATTTGACGATAGTGCCTTGCAAGGGTAAAATGTTCAATTTAAAATGAACATTGAAAATCACACTACTTTAGGTTGGCAGTTTCCTGTCCATAAGGCAGGATTAAACCCAGTTTAACCACAGGCCTTTGAGTGCATGGTTGTTTAGTCAATTTGATCTGAGCTGACAACTTTTAGAGAAGCTTTTGCAGCCATCGTGTCACATTTCCCTTTTCAGTCATATTTTCACATTATTTAGACTGCAGTTTTGTTTGGTTTATGTTGCCTCAATGTTAGTCTGCCTAAGCATACACAATTTCACGAATATGGAATTATATATTTTAATCTTTTGCTGAATCTGGCATCAGATCTCCAAGCAGTAAAGCAAATGTTAGTGTATTCTGGCAAGGTAGCACATTAGCATTTTGAGGATTGGCTATTCTTCTTCCTGGTACATGCATTTATGTGAAGCAGTGCTATAAGTAGTTCAGATGATGCAGGTGTTATTAGGCTGGAAACAATATTAGAGGAACATTCAGTAAAGAATAAAAAGAGGAACTATGTGAATTTCTGTTTCTACTTTTGAAAGCTGTTTATTTGTCGCTGGACCGGTTGTTTTACTGATCAGGAGTTTACATGTTCTCCTAACTGAAAAACCATCCTAATTCTTTCTGGTTTTTGGTGGGAAGGTTTAAAGTTTCTGCACTGGCTTGTGTAGGTTTGTTGTTTTTTTTTCTGCTCTGTCATTCTTGTTTACTCAAATTTCTTACCGGAGCGAGATTTATTAAGTCCTAGATTTATCATGAATTGAGAGGCCTTTTTGAGGACACAAGCATAGTTGGAACAAAAAATAAAATAAGGCATACCTGGATGAAAAATGTACTGTTTTGATAATATCTAACATTTATTACACTGGGAGCTGAAGGCTCATTGGTGACTCACAGTCTAAGCAAGCAGATCCCTGCTATATTACTTCACCAAACTTTTCTGGCAACTTTCACCACTGCCCACATAGTGGCATTAACCGCTTAAGGAGAGTGTTGCCGATTTATAAATAGATATTTAGGAACCTCCAGAGAGAGACCACAAACAAGTAGTTGGCAGTAGTTTAATTCATGAAGGCAGTTTGCAACACTTAAAATTGAAATCAATGTGAGAAAATGCTGATCAAATTTTATCTAATTCAAATAGATTTTTCGCTGTTTTTCTTGATCTGTCTTCAGTTTTTGATTCTACGATTTTGATTCTACGACTTGTGATCAAATCAGGTCACATTTCCTGAAAGTGAGAGAAGATCTGCTCAGAATCTGAGAAAGGAAAAAGGGATTCATTCTAAGCTTGTGCTCCCATCAGCATAATCAAATCATGGAGAAAGTTTAGCTCCATGACTCTTCAAATTATCCATGGGATCCTTTTGGTTTTATTAATGACAGGAAATGTTTTTTAAAATACTGAGGATTTCAGGCTCAGTTATCTAATATCTTTAATATCAAGAAACATCCAGAAGGAGGCAGGATTGAGCCTCACTGTGTGCCAGGGATTCAAGATCTGCAAAGGATCTGATTCAAAATAATAAATAAATACATATTAGCACAATCGGCCCTTTGAGAACTTTCATGATATTAATATTCCCCAAAATAACATTTAGTTTGACATCCCTGCTATAAAGCATATACTTTTTTTATCAGTTTAATTTTAATTTAAGTTAGTTATACTATTAGTACTCTAATGTAAATTTTTTGTATTTGTTTTTATTCTAATAGCAAGTGCCTTTGTATCATTTTAACTTGACATAATTTACTTTATTTTAATACAAGGAAGTGATTTCATTCACTTAAGTCTTGGATTCAAAAGCTGACATATTCTTTCAGTTTCTGTTAAGTAGATTCGTGCTGTGGATCATATGACTGTCATTGTTTCTGTTTTAATTCAGTGAGTCCATTGTAGCAGCTGTTCTCCTGTATTGGAGACAACAAGGACCCTTTAAAAGTCAAAGGATCTTTTGATGAAAACTACTGGCTCTCACCGCCTACGTATTTTCACAGCTTCAAATTGCTTTTCTGTTTTTGTTACTTATTGAAAGCCAGAAATCTCAAATTAGGAGAAAAATGGGTAAAGCCGTATTTTTCTGAAAGTTTTCTCTACAAAACTGGATAAATTTTACTTGGAAGAAAAGATTCTCTTTCTTTCAGCTCCGACACAAAAAACAGACAGTTTCTATTATATCACCCCATGCCGTTTTTAGAGGACGTTGTTTGGTTATTCAGAGTAGTGTGCATGCAGATAAAAGCATATAGTTGCAGTAGATTCAGGCTTCATTGCTCATGGACAGGTCTGCCTTGGATAGAAAACAGCGTCTATTAGAGAGTGTGTTTAGGCTGCTGTGCCTGTAGACAGGAAGATAAAGTGCTTGTCTGGAGACTGGAGGGGATTGAATGTGGGGGAGATTTTCTTCTTGAGTTATAAGGCACAGAAAGAGAAGCTAACGGCTGAAAGAAATGTTGCTTCTTAGGGTGGAGAAGATGGGTTGGCTGTCAGCTTTGCATCCCCTTAGGATAGATGCCTTTCTAATTTGAGCATGATTTAAAAGCGTAAGAATTGGTAATTCTCCAAGTGTTGGGGCTTTACTAAGAGGATACATCATTTTTACGATATCTGTGTCCCAAAAAACATTGCAACTGTTGATTAGCCTTATATGTCCTCTAAGGACAGGTATTACTCATTTGCTCTTTGTGATAAAAGATGGCAGCTTCCCTTTCTCTATGTCTACCATTGAGTTCTTATGTTCCACATCTGGAACATTTTGTCATATTAAAACTACAGTATGCTCTCTCTCTCTCGCTTGCTTTGGTGTTTCCACCCGAGAGACAGCCTAGTGATGTTGGATGGCAGTTTCCAGCTCTTTTCCCACAAGTATAAGTTTCTGCGACAAAAAAAAAAAAAAAGAATTACACAAATATGAAATAAATATTTGGATTCTGAAAGCCTAAAGTTAAAGCATAGATGTTCGTTACATTTGATCTGGAGTATTCGATAGGGATTGCAATAGCAGTTACATCCACAGAGCCAGTCATTTACTCAAGGAAAGGATCAGACTTGAGAAAAAAAGAAGTCAGCAGAGCTGTACATAAATGAGATATGATGGGCAATGTCTTTAACTCACATGACCCCCAAAATAACAAGCTGGACGTGAAAATAGGAGCCGCTCTGGAGATGTCATTAGCAATGATCTCAGCATAATAAGGAAAATTGTTTCTTGTAAAGGCAGTGGAGTGAAACTTTCAATATTCTTCCAAATGAGCTTCATGATAAGCAAACAGAGGTCCCGTAGTCTCAATGTTATCATTTATAATGGATATGTCTGCCTCATTGGAAGGGAAGATAGCATTTACAGCCGGCTGTCCCTCCACATTTAGCCCCAGCGCTCATCTCAATGATCCATACCCCAACTCTGAGCAGCAATAGCATCAGATCTCCTCCATCACACTATTAATCCGATTTATGGCCCTTAGCTTTTAGTGGGACTTGCTTCATGTTTTCAACACCCCCTTCTCCAAGCTTTTCTTCCATTTCTTCTTAATCTGTCCTGTTCCCACAGGATACACGATGTGATACTTGTTTTTGAACTGCTAGATGTAGTACTCTCTGTGACCACATATGGGCAGCGTGTCTTAGGTTTGGTTGTTCAGAGGAGGATGAGAGAAGGTTGTGTTCTTGCTGATTTTACTCATATTTGGAAACTGAAGTTTTTAAGTAGAGAGGATCCACTCATGCAATAAATATTCTCTCTCACTGTCAATTGATTGTGCACCGAGTTTAAAGAACATCTTTAGCCTCCTTCTTAATTTCCTTGTTCAATTTCACTTTTTGCCTCTTTGTTAATGATTCAGAAATTATTGTACTGTCTTCCTCCATCTCTGCCCTCTCTATTGCTTTAGATCTGCCCTTCATCATATCTCTCTACTTCCTCCTTCATGTCTAAACAGCATCTGAGATCAGACATGTTGTAGTCTCAAAATGATAAAAAACAAAACAAGTTTCCCTTACACTGTGACCAGTAAAAGGCATAACTGCATTGGTAATAAATATGTGCTATTTACAAACATATTAAATGAAAAAGCATATTTCAGTGTTTTTGCCTAGCAGTGGTGCCTGAACCTTTGCTCAAATAACCTCCGACTTCCACAAATGCTTCTCTTGAGTGTTGCTATCTCATCCTCTCCTGCACCTTCCCCACTCAGCTCCTCGAGACTAGTGGCAGCAGCAACTATCAAACACTTTATGGAACAATGAGTCTGCTGAGCTACCATATGAAAAAAACGTGTAACAACCGAGTTACTTGTTTCAATCGAGTTACTTAATTGAAACAAGTAACTTGGTTGTTACAATAAAGTAACACGGTTACTCTTGCTGTGTAACATGTTACTTGATTGTGATTGTGCAATAAATTGATTGTGCTATAAAATATTGTGCTATTAAATGACACAGAAAATACATAACATTGCCCCTTAAAGGCCAGATTGTTGCAACATTTGTAGAGTGCACAAATCTCGTCTCTGAAGGCCGATTCGTGTCTTCCTACATGTCTCGCAAAGTTGGGAGAGACATACTCTGAATTACTTGCAGCTGAGATATAGTGAGAACTGGTTCTGTAAAGTTTTGACTCAAGGCATTTAATAAAAATGCATGTGCACAGCATTCCAATTTTTAGTTATAAAATGTTTTCTAAAACCAGGCCATTTTCTCTCTCAGTTATGCCCCACTTTGTATTTTTCTATTAAATTAAATTGAAATAAAACACATATGAGTTTTAAGTTGTGACATGGAAAAATGTAAAAAAATCTTCAGGGGTTTTAAATACTTTTG